ACTAACTAACTAACTAACTAACTAACTAACTAACTAACTAACTAACTAACTAAATAAATAAATAAATAAATAAATAAAAAAATAAAAAATAAAAAATAAAATAAAAAATAAATCTCCGCTCTGGGCTTAACGATTTGGCAATAAAAATCAGCTTACAGCGGATTCGCATCGGATGCATGGCGTAAGCATGTCCTCCGGGACCCGTGACCTCGCAGGCGTACCAGCCAGCCTGACCCAAGCGGACGCCCATCTCCACCTCCTCCGCCGCCGCCGTCATTCCGGCTTCATTCAGGAACATCAGCGCTCCGGTCACATTCAACTCGGCCGCTCCATTTCGTCTGTCGGAAAGATAAGACATGTCCGAGAGACTGGGCCAATTGGCCCAAGAAACCGTGGCCGGTCGAGACGACGTCAATTTCGGCTGTGTAGTTGTCGTCTTGACGACTGCCACTTTCATGGGCACTTTGACTTTTGGATCGGCAGACGGCAGGAGGTTACTGGCGGTGGTGACGTGTGTCATCTCGACTCTGGGACTGGCGGGCGAGGTGGAGACGGCTAGAGACGCGGGGTCTGTCTTGGGCTGGTCGAGAGGTACCTTGAGGAAGCGCCAGATGTAGGCGAGTCCGGTGCTCGGACTGCCGCCGGTGGTGAGGCAGGTGAGAGTGACCGTCTGCCCGATCATCGGCTCCGAGGGATAGCTGAGCACACGTACGGTCGGAGGGTCTGGAGGCGGAAGGAAATGGCAATTGGTACCAACGTTATGACAGGTGAAAATGGGCATTCGAGGCTGTCAATGGAGCATGAATGGGTGGCTCGAGGTGAGGAGGGATGGATAGCCGATTTGCCCACAAGCATATTTGCTGGAATGGCAACATGTTTGAAAGTAACACAAGCGATGGCTCGAATCCCGTCGGGTGAAACCGTCTAGTTTGACCTAAATGAGGTCGAAACCTCAGTCCAGTCTAATCTGGATTGTGGGATCAGCTGAAGGGAAGAGCAAATCCGAGGGCGTAAAGCATGTGTTGTTGAGAAAACGATTCCAGTTGTGGTACCTGACGTATCTGAAAATCTCATAACCGAGCTACGCTTTCTTACACATGAAGTGGTGAATGTTAAATGATCTACCAATTAATTCACATTATTTTTCCTGAACTTTAGTTTGGAAAAGCTGATGAAATGAATTGATAAAATTCGCTTCACCAGAACTCGAAAAAGAGCTGCTTTAAGGTATTGTTTAAAGCTATGATTTTCGGTTACGATGGGACAGAAATGCAGAGTATAAAACTTGAATACACTCCTCACATTTCGGAGTGTGATGATGCTGCCACTTTAGGAAATTCAAGCCGAAATAAAGGATACAATAACAAAATATGTGGCTACTGAGCAGTTTTGACATCTGAGTGGCGTAGAGTTCAAATCTACAGGAAGCTTTGCAAGCATCTTCACTTGCTCAAAGAGTGAAAGAGAACGAAGTTTCGGTTATAAACGCATTTAGACACTTCATGATGCAACCTTCAATTCATTCATTCACTTTCAAATCCTTTTTTCAGACACATTTTCATCCGAATCGGAAATGAGCTCAACATTTCTGAGCCC